GTTTTCTTCGAGAGAAACTTTTTCCCCAAAATAAATCCGCCTCCTTTTGAATTAACTAGAATATTATGTACTTCAATGACATACTTATCAGTAAAACAATATGAGTTTGCCTCTGAATGTGCACAAATCTCATAAGTCTCCATAGAAACCTTTTTCTACTGTTTGTAAAGTTCAGATTGATAGCATGTGTACATAAATTGTTTTCTATGTGATAATATTGGCAAATTTGATATATGCTCAATTTCACAAATTCTTCGGCAAATTTGTTGTAGTGGATTAGTTGGCGGTTTTATCAACTTTTGATATGACCTAGGAAATTTTCAAAAGGGAAAGCAGAAAAATTATCCAATGCACCATTATGTAAAACATCATCGCATACATGTTGTAAAATATGAACATTATAAATTAAAATTCTGTGCCATATATTTGTTCACATTCTTTTATAAATCTATGTATAAGCTTACTACTTAGATCACAGTTAACTTTTCTCATCTCATGAGTAGTGTTATACATTAAAAGTGAAACTGCACTATGTAATATTAAAAAATTGTAATACATTTTTTATTAATGGCATTTTTCAATGCAACAACTCCTGTATATAATAAAAAGGTTCTGAACTCAGATGCTTTGAAACGATTTAGGTCCATTAAAGATCTTGGTTTTCAGTTAATTTCCTTAACAGTACCTATTAGTATGTCTGATATTTCATTTAGCACTCTAGAACCTTGTCTAATATGTAAATTTCCTCCAGACGAGCTAAGTAGTAATTTCCTTGTAATACCTAGACAAATATGCAATCAATAGAAAAATTTTGCATCATATCTATTTCTAAATTAACTAATGGTGTTGTGCCAACATGGTGATCATCATCAAGTTTTAGTCTGAATGAGTGATCACTTCTTTTCCGAGCATTTGTATCACGCAATATATAATAACATGAATAACCACCAGGTGCTTTGATACCTTTTATGAAAGCCTTTGCCGGTGCATCACATATGAAATTTCCTAATTTTACCAAATATTTTTTAGTATCTACAAAAATGCCATTTTTATTATATTAAGTTCATTAACGAAGTCAAAATACAAAGACAAAGGAGAAGGCTTTGACATACCGCAATAAATTCCTATAGCAAATACCTTTTGCATGTTGTCCGCCTCCAGTGATCCCAAAATAGGCCATGCTTGCATATTGAAACTTTTGTACAGAGGAATACCATCAATATTAAAATTCAGAATAAGTGTGTCATTTTTATAATCATGTTGTCTAATGAATTTTTCCAGATTATTTTTTATGCCTATATACACATACTGGCCTGACCCAAAACTTTTTATATCAAATTTTTTGGAGTTTGCAATAACGTACGGCTATCAAGAGGAAGCTAGGGGTGATAGGATGACAGAATATGGAGATCTTTAAGGGCTGTATGAGAGATTTTGAAATTTGTAGCCAAACATTGTAATTCATCTTTAAACTTAGTTCATTATTTTCCTCTATGGAATTATCATCTATTACGTCTGAATTTTCTATAAGTTCCCTTCCAATTTGCACACTACAGCTTTGATTGCTGGTTCTCAGATCTGGTTCAATATTATTGCTATTGCCAAAATCTTTCTCCAAATGTCTCACATTTCTCAAAATATCCTGTTACTTCAAAATTTGAATTCCTGGATTCTGCAGTATTAATGCTCTGTTGTTGAGGTGAAGCCACAACCTGTGAGGAATTGATTTCATTAAATATTTGTCGAACTTCCTTTGCAACATGTCTAAATGACTGACGCTCAATACCGACTTTTTTATAGTTCCTTTCACTTGACATTGTCTAACAAAGAAAAAAAAAGGTTATGTAGCAGAAAATCAAACTTCCACCACCAATTTCATCGGAAAATTCTATTCCTATGTATATTGAGTATGTGCGCAGTCTGGCTTTTGACAACACACAAATATAATATGTGCTTAAAATTTACAGTAAGATAAAGATATATGGCACGCGGTACCGACACTAGCAAAATGCAAAGTGGAAAATGGATGGAGGATGGAGAAGGAGAACCCGGATAGTCGTTATCAACATCTGAATCAAATTCAAGCGGATAACCAAATGGAAATGGTATTTACCATTTTGGGTTGGTATTTACCAATCCGTTCAAGCGAGTGTAGTTATCAGTTTGGTTATAAGATCCGTGACGTCACGAATCAGCTGTTATATGTCATAGTTATCACCGCAAGATTGTGGTATTTACCCAACTCAAGAGTAGTTTTATATTTCTGGTTATTATTTGAAATGTGACAAGTTAGAATTTTGCCGGGTATTGGATATTGTTATTGTACTTCAGCTTCATTTTTGAGAAAAATGATACAGGCTGACTTCAGTTTCACCATAAGCACCTTATTAGTTATACTCATTACGGTTGTTGGGGACATTTTAAATGTAGTTCCTATGCTTAACAAAGTATCCGCTGTAGCCATATACCACAAGAATATTAAAATATGGCCATATAAACTCACTAGATGATATCCACCTGTATACGGTTTTGCTAATTTCTTTTTTCATCATTTCTGCTGAATCAATAAATGTTTTCTTTGACATGCGGAAAAATTTAGAGAATTGAAAGTTATCACAGCTACAAAGCCATGGTTCCATAATTAAAAAAAAAATCTGAAAAAACATTTCTCCCATGAATATTATGAAAGGTTTCTTATTTAAACTTTCCATATACAGTTGTAGACGAAAAAGCACCGATTATTAAGTGATAATAAAAATAATTAGAGATTATATACGCGCTTTTCTAAAATAAACAACTTGCAACAAAACCGCGGTTAAAACCAACGCGTTCAAGCGATTCGTTTAACTGACGTCATCAACCCGTGTGTCATCTTGAACCATATTATAACCGCGGCACATAACACAGAAATTTTGGTTATTCGCTTGGATTTGATTCTGGTTCCTGATGGGTGATGGGGGACGTGGGAATTACTGGGAATGGCTTTGATTGGATCCGATGTCTATTTAAAAACATAGTTGCCAAATGTTGCTTGTTAAATGTCTACAAATGTTATCGAGTTGAAGAAGCTTGATGTAATTTATATAAAATTCCACAGGAAATATAATAGGCTCAATCATAAAACAACAATTTATCAACTCTGTGAGATTTTTAAAAGTATAGGTGTGAAATAAGGATATATCAAAGCAAGACGGGACGACACGCAAAGATCAACTTCAGTCAAAAGCATTATAGACACGTGATGAAAATTCTACAATCTGGCAACGCAGCTGTGGCGCAGTTGTCATAATCGCTTTCCTTTTCAATCAAGGCACGATATTCAATAATTCAATAATCAAATTCAAGCGGATAACCAAATGGAAATGGTACTTACCATTTTGGATTGGTATTTACCGATCCGTTCAAGCGAGTGTGGTTATCAGTTTGGATATAAGATCCGTGACGTCATGAATCAGCTGTTATATGTCATAGTTATCACCGCAAAATTGTGGTATTTACCCAACTCCGGAGTAGTTTTATATTTCTGGTTATGTGACAAGTTAGAATTTTGCCGGGTATTGGATATTTTTATTGTACTTCAGCTTCATTTTTGGGAAACTTGATACAGGCTGACTTCAGTTTTAGCATAAGAGAGCACCTTATTATTAAAATATGGCCGTATAAACTCACTGGATGATGTCCACCTGTATACGGTTTTGTTAATATCTTTTTTTCATCGCTTTTCCATCATTTCTGCTAAATCAATAAATATTTTCTTTTACATGCGGAAAAGTTTAGAGAATTGAAAGTTATCATAGCTACAAAGCCATGCTTCCATCAGTAAAAATTTTTTTCAGAAAAAAAAACATTCCTCCCATTAATATTATGAAAGTTTTTTTTTCAACTTTCCATACCCCGTTGTAGACGAAAAAGCACCGATTATTAACTGATAATAAAAATAATCAGAAATTATATACACGCTTTTCCAAAATCAACAACTTGCAACAAACCGCAGTTAAAACCAACGCGTTCAAGCGATTCGAGTAACTGACGTCACCATCCCGTGTGTCATCTTGAACCATATTATAACCGCGGTACATAATACGGAAATTTTGGTTATCCGCTTGGATTTGATTAATATTTGTTGGTCATTAAATGGGAAACAGGGGTATTATATTAATTATTTCTCAATCGCACTTTCATATTTTACCATTTCAATAAGATGATCGATTTGTTGTAACATCGATTTTCACATAACTAAGATACATATGTGTATACGGTATTATTATTTATAATAAAACTCGTAAAAACATTTTCCACGTTTTATCGACGTTTATCGATTATATTATAAGAATACAGCAGGAAATTATAACAAACTAATATGTTTAAATTAACTAATCGGTTAAGTGACTGCAACATAACCGGATTTTATTCGCGGCAGCGGAAATTGGTATAGAGGTGTACACACGTCGTGATATTCACGTTTTATCGACGTGGTGTGATTATATCGGACAAATTTGAGCGAAATTTGGTCCATAACTGACGTCGAATAAACCTAGAATTTTCCCTAAGTTTCAACTTCGACCAAAATCACCAAATATCTACGTCGATTCCACGACACCGTGCTGGCTGGGTATAGCCTACCAACAGTACCGACCGCCCAGCAACGTGGCAACCCAGCATGGGGTTGCATACACGAATGCACGTATCATTATTCACTTTGATTCCTTGATTCCGTTATCCCTTATTATTCCAACAGGGTTACCAGATTGGGGGATTTTCCCCCAAATTTGGGGTATTTTTCATTGCTTGGGGGAATTTTTGGGGGTATACAATGCGTGGGGGATTTTTTGGGGGAAAATTATTCCGTTTTGGGGTTTTTTTGGGGTGCGATTTTAAGAAGACATTCTGTCGTCCGACCAATTTTCAAGTTTCAATTGAATTATTGGAATTCGAGAACAACTTTGAATAAATATAAATTCATTTACAGATAATCCTGCCATCTTTCAACAACTATTAAAATTATTCTGAAGCACCTACATTACAGTTTCCTTCAATAGCGGCAAAATATTATTTTGTTTTTGTGCGTTAGATGGCGCGATTAAATAAGTGTTTCTCATCTATGTGAAACCCAGAGAATCGTGTAACTTTATTTCCTTTCCTATCATTAACTTTATAGGCTATATTTCTTTTACTTTGGAGTGTTCAATACGCATGGTTTATCCAAATTAGTGTTGTACGTGTCAATCTAAATATGCCTAAAGAAAAGGAGTCGTTATATACCCGAAAATACCGAGTTGCTTGGGAATCCGATGCTGAACTTAAAGGTAATCTATTGAAATTTTGATGGTGTGGGTTATTAATTATAATTATTCATTCCATATAGGATGGATTGGTCCTGTATTAGCAGATGAGACAAAGTCGCTTTGTAAGATATGTAAATGTATTTTAGCTGCACATAAAAAAGACTTACTGCTTCACGGTAAAAGTAAGAAACATCAAGAGGCGGAGAAAAGATCTTTGGCTGGCCCGAGTAAAAAAATTACTGAGTTTATGAAAAAAGGTTTGACCGCCAGCAGGAAAATAGCAGAATTAAAAATTGCTGCATTCATATGTGAGCACTGCTCACTTGCAACAATTGATCATTGAGACAAAAATACACTTTGGTATAGTAAAAGATAATGAAAGGTGTTATATGGCTGAACAGCTGTTTCAAATGTTATCGGACCAAACTAATGTATTATATTTCACCTTTTTGAGTTGGACATTGAAAGAAATAATTAGAGTTAATAAACTGTTTCAGTCAGAGTTTGCAGATCCACTGAAATTAATGGAAGATTTGAATTTATTACATTTCAATAACCTAAGTATTTTAGTACCACCTATGAGACTTCAAAAAATTTCAAAAAATAACGTCGTTGATTTCAAATTTGAAGATTACATTATGGATATAGAATTGATAAATTTAGGATATTCGTTCAATTCAAAAGCGTCATCCTTAGCAATTAAACAAGATGAACTACTAATGGTGCGAACTAGATGTAAAGATTTTTTAGTGGAATTATGTTGACAAATTCAAATGAGAATCCCTGAAAGTATGAATATTTTGGAGAAAATAAATTCATTTAACCCCGAATTAGCTACATCCAAGATACGTCAACCTGAAATAACTAATATTGCTTTATCGTTCTCAACAATATGTCCTGACCTTGATAGTACAATTGCAGAATGGAAATCACTTCCTCGAATAAATTGGATAAACCTGCATGATACAGAAAAGTTTTGGGTTGAGGTGGCAAATAACGTCGATGCAGTAGGGGAACCTAGATATAAAAATATTTCATCATTAGCTCTTGCGTTACTTAGCCTTCCATTTTCTAATGCTTCAGTTGAGAGAGCTTTTTCCATTATAAATGTGGTAAAAAACAAACTTAGAAATCGCTTGGCGATTCATAGTACAGATGCTATCATGAGAGTTCGATGGTATCTGTGCAATTTAAAAAATGGTTGTACAGATTTTCAACCAACTGAAAATATGTTGCAATATTTCAATTCTGAAAGAATGTATGATTGCAAAAAGGAGGAGGAAGAAGTTTTAAATGCATTCTCGGAGCTGTAGCATACTACTCGTATATTATGATAGTAAAAAAATATATATTATGTTACTTGTTATTAGTTATTAGTGTTATTACCATAAATACCATACTCATAAGACAATCTTAGCCAACCTGCAAAGTATAATAATAATAATAAATATCTTTGAAAGTTTTGGGAGATTTTTTTTAAAGATGTGCTTTTTGGGGGAATTTGTTATTTAGGCTGGGGGACTTATAGAAATAGGTCTGGCAACCCTGTATTCCAACCAGGCAAACGTACGCTCGTTGAGTTATCCGGCACACAAGTAGATCGAAAACTTATTTCTCTATCATGCAAGTTTTAAGGGCAAATATATGATATAGGTATGTCTAAAATGCCCATAGAATTATATATACCGGGTTTGGAAACGTATGAATTGCTAGCACCAAAAAAATGGACCGGTTTTCATAAACTGCAAACCCTTTTCATCTTTAGTACACTAGTAACATTTCATCAAATTTCGAGCGGTACTTCCCACGTTATAGAGGGGCCAAGTATTAGCGTACAGACAGAGGCAGCCCAAAGGAAATGATTTCAAAGAGTGTTATGGTTTTTGGTAATCTAGGGGTCGTTTATAACGTCCAAATTTTTGGCAATACTACCTGGTCAGTGGTGTAGGAAGTGAAAATGGTCGAAGTTATCAAATTGGTTTGAAATGTTTACTTCCGGTTTTGCAAATATTTTTTTTTTCAAAATTTAAATGTTTTTCACCTGGAAGTACAGAAAATTTCCTATATGTTTGATAACTGATTTTATTACTCTTCAATTCAAAAAAATTACTTCTCAATTGTGGCTATTTTTTAATCCCATAAGCAAATCACATGAAAAAGTGCGTTTTTTTCACATCTACAAGATGTACAAATAGGCCCAATATTAACGTATTTTGAAACATTTTTCTTTTTGGTGTCCCATGTGAAAAATGTAGACAAATCATATAGGAATATCTGCAAGTATACCTGATGAACATATTCAAAACTAAAAATTCAGTTCAAGAGCTATAGTGTCCAATTCAAGTGGAAATACATTTTCCTCAACATTTCCTAAATATTCTTTATAATGTGAAATTCAAAATTTGAAATGTCTTCTGGAGGCTATGCTAGTACACCATATTTTTCACAATGTTGGCAGCAAGGCTGTGAGAGAAAAATGGTTAACAGATGATGCCACAATGATTTGAAAAACATATATTCAATTGAAATATTACAATGATTGTTTCCTACTTATACAATGCTTCAATGTGTTACTTCATCATAATATAATAATGAACATAGACTTACTCAGAATATCAGCTAGAATCAAGAATTACAGTTTTGAAAAATGATAGTAGAAAATTAAAAGGAATAAAGATGAATCACATTGCATTTTAGTAAAATTACCATTTAGAAGTATATCTGAGAGTACTTTGAAGATTTTTAAACTTATAATAATTAAAATTGCTCTATATATCAATCAATGTTCTGTTTCAATAATTCTGTTAACTCAAATCTTTCTTGCTCCTTCTCATATTGCTCTTGTAGTAGCCTCTCCAATTTATCCTGGAACCTCTGCCTCAATGCTAAGTTTTCAATGTTTTCAATTTTTATTTCCTGCTGTTGTCTTTTCAGCTTTACATCATTGATTTCAGCTTCAAGTTCATCCAATCGTGCTTGAATATTAGCTCTAGATAGATTTGACTCTGAGTAGGACATACTAGGACCTGCATGTTGATAGTAATCTATTTCTTGCATGTGCATCATATTTGGAGAATTTTGCATATCCCTGAACATATCACTTGTGAATTCTGTCAGGAGTTTAGCATCTGCAGAGTTATTCAGCACAGAATTTGAGTCTGTTAAGTGACTGTCATCTGCAGAATTTTGACTGTTTTCATCTAAGACATCCAGGACATTGAGATGTGCATCTTCTTCTTCAGAATCACTAACTGCCTCTCCAAATATGTCATGTTCTCCTACATTCTTTGGAGGCTCTGGGGTTCTTTCTTGATAACAGTACCTTTGTTGACCTTATTCTCATCTTCTTCATTGATAACTTCCCATTTCACACTCACTGCATCATTGTCAATCCTCAACAATCTTTTTACTTCCTTTCTATTTCAGGAGCCTCTACATACTTTTTCCTCAAAGTTTTTCTAAATCTTCTCTTCCTAACATTTTTTGTAGGTGGTGTAACTCCATGGGGCCAAAGATATTTCTTGTCAACTTTGTTTGTGTCTTTCTTCTTTTTTTGAGGAGAATCTTCATCAGTTGTAGCTTGATCATCCTCTTCTTTACAATATAGCATCTGACAAATATCTGCAGTTTTGTAAAAGCCTTTACCATCTATAGTCTTAAGGGACTCTACAATAGTTGGTAGATCAACCACCTTTCCAGTCAACAACCAGTGATCTACTCTGACCTCACCATGACGCATATCGTTTTCGATTTTTATAGAAAACCTGTCTTTCAAATTACTGTGGCTTCTGAGTGTCTCCCTCAAGATTTTTGCTGGTTCTGGTGGTAAACGTAATACAAACTGGGATTCCAACTCAGCAGGGGAATCGGTTTCACCTTCTATGACCTCCTTCTTCATATCTCTTGATAAATTATTAATATCTACCTTTCTAATTTAGGATTTTTGGATATAATTTATTTTGTGGAATTGTGGACAAATTCTGTTTATAAACAAAAATTAACATAACCTTACTATTGCTTTGACTTATGTCTTGTGTCAACACAGCAGTATGATTCAGGGCTGCCACAAAAATATAAAAATAGGTTAAAATTCGTTGTTCAAAACGTACATCGAAAACGTCGAAAACGTAGGATGCGTAGAAAACCGTAGAAACTTTCTGTATTATATTGTGGCAGTTCTGCATGATCCTAATTTAATTTTTGACGTTCTTACATTGCAGGCTTTTGCGTTTTTTGAGCAAAGTTGCTGAATGTGTTTTGTGTTTTTTTTTCGTTGTTTTTATTGTTTTGTCCACATGATAACTTGAAGACTTGTGACCATTCTGCTCTGCATCGTTTTGTGTTGTGAAATCGTTGAATTTAGTGTTGAACTCCTGAAGTTTTTTTACATTTGTTTTTTGTGGTCTTGTACTTTACAATGTCCTGTAGAGTACCTCATATAGATACAATTCCAAAAAAGGATAATAGCTCAGATTATTTGAAAAAAGCGCATCACTTCTATGAGCAGTCAAACTTCCCAAAAGCCTATAAATATTTTGTGCAATACTTCGAAAGTCTTAACAGCATTTCGGATGTTTCCCCTGAGGATCAGGGGATATTTACAGGAGTTGTAACTAAAATTGCCACAGTGCTTGAAGAAACTGATGATGTCGAAGAACTTCTCAAGTGTTACTTACAAACAATTAATTTATTTCCTGACAATTATTTCATCTTAAACAGTCTTGGTGCTTATATGTTCAAGTAAGTAGAGCAAAGATTACTCAAGCTTAGGCATAATTACCAATGAAGGTTCTTTGTAGATTAGGAGAAAATGATATTGCAAAGAAATATCTAGAACTTGCACTGGAATCACATCCATATTTTTTGCCTGTAAAAAGGAATTTATTGCATTTGAGTTGGAATGAAATGCCAAGGTGGCATTTCAGAATGATGAATGATAGGCTGAGAAATCAGGCATATGATAAGGCAATTACGTCACTTATTAGTAAAGGGTAATTTTTCTTTCTACAAATCATAACATTCCATCATTATTTTAACCATATCTGAGGTGTGGCAGAAAAGTAAGTAATTGTACTGTTGTCCTTAGGGCATGTGTGTCAGTCATGCCCTGTCATTCAGTGCTAGTTTCAACTCCATCCAGTATTTTTGGGACTGGTATCAGTGAAGTTGTGTTTTGGATGCGCAACAGTTGAGCAAAATGGAATAGCAGGAATATTGTAGCTTTAAATTTTGTGTTAGTCTTTCAGAATCAACATGTGTAACCTTTGAAAACTTGAAATAAGGCCTATGAGGAACATTCCTTATCCTGAGCTAAAGTTTTTCGCTGATGCAAATGAAATAATTTTGGGAATTCAGAGAATATGTTGAAGATGAATGCTGCTCTGGTGGCCATCATCTTTGAAAACTGGCAAATACATTGAATATGTGAACACTCTTATAAGATCAGATCAACTTAACATTAAGAATGTTGAGTGATCAGTTAAATTTAAAGAAATTTACTGTTCATCAAAGTTTATTTGCACATGCGAAAGCTCTGGACATCATTTGGGGACTTTAGGTGCATTCAAAAGAGTGTACACATGCTGTGAGTTATATTCCATACTATTTGAAGATGTTCAGTGCTACTACCCAGGCTGGGACCAACATCTCCATCAAGTTGTAGCTGCCCAAGGAAACTACTTTGAACCTGATAATATTGATGTAAAAACTCTGCCATTATTTATTTGCCACACCTTGTGCTATACAAGATGTTCCAATATTCTGGTTCCTAAAATATCTGAAAAATGTATTTTGTAAAGAAAACTTTGATGCCCTCTAACGGACGAGCACAGAGGTAAACCATGTCCAATCGACTTATTTTGTGTCTAAAAATATGTGGTACTTCTATGTCCACGGAATATTGGAACATCCTGTATACATATTAAAGTAAGTTTCATAGAGTCCCAGTCCCAGTCGTAGTATAGTGTAAGTTGTTCCATATAATTTAAAACTATTTCTGCTACTTGACGTGTCACATAGAGGTATTATGTTCAGAAGCTGAATAACATATCAAGTCATGGGATCAGGGTCATTAGGAAATATACAAACAGAAAACCCTTCGGAAAGGACATGACACAACACAAAATATATGGCAGAAGGGTCCTCAGTGGAATTGGCTGAATTCCGAGTACATCTAGTACATTACGATGTCCTGATAAAAGATCGCCATGCAATGTTTCCGAGCCTACCGATTTTACGAAATACCTAAAACGTCATTTTCCACGATTTTTTAAGATACTTCGTATATCTCCATATTTTTTACGGAAAAAGTCAAAAGAAAAGATTTCTATGTACTTTTATGTCCCATACCAATCATACATATGCATACACTTAATACAATCGGCACACAAGCGATGTAGATTTGGGTAAATCATCATTACCGCGTTTCCGGATAAGCAATAAGGAAACCAAAGCTCCTAGGTTTTGGATTAAATATTAAATTAAAATTTCAGGTGATGAAGTTTGTTCACGGAGTCGTAAATGTACAATTTCATTATTATTGACACCATGATTTCTAGTATTTTCAAACAACATTGGTATGATCTCAAGGACGACTGCAATGTTTTGTTATTTGAACAGAAAAGTTTGGTGCCAAATCCAGTCAGCTCAATTCTTTAAGTAAATTATTTTTTAGCCATAGTCCACTTATAATTTTCAGAATTAAAAAATATTTTTGAGGTTCGTTTTATGGCTGAGAAGCGGTCTGGTAGCGAAACAGAAAAGTATATCAAAACATACAATAGGTCATGCTTCTCTTTTTTGTTTGTATACCTGTAATCTGTACACAATAACAAAATGTAAGTTTCCCAGTTGTTATTGTTTGTTTAAGAAAAACCTGTGTGAGCGCGCAATAAAATTTTGTACTTTTTTCCTACCTACTTGAATCTACCGAATTTCCACGACACTCTCTACCGATTTCGTGTTTTTAGGTTTGGCAACACTGTCTCCATGGACAGAACAATTCATCTTATTCCAAATTTGTTTTCTAATGAACATTTAAAGAGATATTGATGACCAAAGTTGAGGAATACAAGTATCGAATAATGTCTGAAATTTTTGGTTTGTAGTGGGATGACAAAAAATAACATATAATAAATAAATAAAATATAACAAAATAGTGCTGCCAAAAAAAAATGGAATTTATCCATTGCTGTAGAGGTGTTTTCAAATCATTTTAAATATTAACTCTTTATGGAATTTATATTCATGAATGCCTGTTTAAAAATATGAATAGGTTCAATTTACAGACTTCTTGGCTACAATACCAGAACCTTTGATGTTAATTGCCCTTTTCATAAACTGACATTAAGGAAGCCCTAGTTATAGTTGTCTCAAACTATATAACAAATTTCTAGATGATTTAAAATCCAAGATAGCATTAATAAATTTAAATCTGAAATCATGAAGTTATATCCACTCCTTTCCTTGACTCAATTTAATTTTGAGATTGTATATTTTACTTTTTATAGAGATCATGTATTGTAACCCAATCAGAAATATAACTGCATATTATTTTTATAGCATAGACATAAAAAGCCTTATGATATATTATATGATTTTCTCAACCTCTGTCCTTATAGGTACAAAAATGCTATTGACATAGGGGCTGGATGTGGTTTACTAAGTTTGATAGCATCTAAGAATCCTGAAGCCTCAGTTGTAGCGATAGAAGAAAGTAAAACTCTTGCCAGAATGTGTAAAGATGTATTGATAGAGAATAATGTTAAAAATGTTGTAATAATGAACTGTTATTCCACAGATATCAAAGGTATTTTTATAATGATTAGCAAAACTAAAATCACTTGGTTTCATTGTTATAAAAAAGATCTTTTAACAACTTGCCTCAATGAAACTATGAGGTAGATCTGGAAAACAGTATAGATGTCATTGTGTGATTTATTTCAGAACCATTGGGTAAATGTAACCTGATAGTGACAGAAACATTTGACGTTGCTCTCTTTGGAGAAAGAGTCCTAGAAAGTATTCATCATGCACTTAGTACCTTGAAAACGGAAGACGATTTCAAAGTAGTGCCTGCTAGAGCCAAAGTGTACATAACAGGTATTAATCTGCCGTTTATTTTATATTAAAATACTCACACTTTCTAAAACTTGATATCTAAATCAGGATGGAGGGGGCAGTTGCCCCCTCTCTAGAGAAAAACTGCATTCCCTTCGGTTTTTTTATGCGGCTGAAGTTCCGATCGATCACGCTCTGATCGAAACGGTAAAAAGGCAGCAGTGACGAAAATTTGCCATTACCACTTCTACTGACGTAATTTAGGTCCAAATAAACATAAATCGATGCGGTTTTCACGTAGTTCGATTGTATTACGGGCTTTCTATGTACTGTAAGAGTTTTATCTCCCTCCTCCAAAATCTTCCTCAAAGTGAGGAGAAACGCGAAAAAATTGATATTACATTAAAATAAACCTGGAGAAATGCGGTTTTCACGTCAATTGATTAGAAAAAGCATATTTTACTTACGCTAAGTTCAAATCCGTGCTATCTCGTTCACAGATACCGCAAATTGACCCCCCTTTAAAACCTAATATTTTAGAAGCTATATAATCATCTATAGCTTTTCAAAACCGCCCAAGACCAAAATGTTTTGGACACTTCTCGCATGTATATGATCTAGTCAATCACACCATATCAGCCGTTTCCCCAAACCAAGTCCGGAACCCTCCGTTTTTGCCCCCTCTTTATTTATACATGACAAATTTGAAAAATGTATTATTCGTCAAAACAGCCGAAGACCCAAAATTTTTTTACATTTCTGGCATCAGTATAATCCACTTTATCACTCCCTACTAGCCGTTTCCCCAAACCAAGTCCGGAACCCTCCGTTTTTGACCCCTCTTTATTTATACATGACAAATTTGAAAAAATCTATTATTCGTCAAAACAGCTGAAGACCCAAAATTTTTTTACATTTCTGGCATCAGTATAATCCACTTTATCACTCCCTACTAGCCGTTTCCCCAAACCAAGTCCGGAACCCTCCGTTTTTGACCCCTCTTTATTTATACATGACAAATTTGAAAAAATCTATTATTCGTCAAAACAGCTGAAGACCCAAAATTTTTTTACATTTCTGGCATCAGTATAATCCACTTTATCACTCCCTACTAGCCGTTTCCCCAAACCAAGTCCGGAACCCTCCGTTTTTGACCCCTCTTTATTTATACATGACAAATTTGAAAAAATCTATTATTCGTCAAAACAGCCTGAAGACCCAACATTTTTTTACATTTCTGGCATCAGTATAATCCACTTTATCACTCCCTACTAGCCGTTTCCCCAAACCAAGTCCGGAACCCTCCGTTTTTGACCCCTCTTTATTTATACATGACAAATTTGAAAAAATCTATTATTCGTCAAAACAGCCGAAGACCCAAAATTTTTTTACATTTCTGGCATCAATATAATCTACCTTATCACTCCCTACTAGCCGTTTCCCCAAACCAAGTCCGGAACCCTCCGTTTTTGACCCCTCTTTATTTATACATGACAAATTTGAAAAATCTATTATTCGTCAAAACAGCCGAAGACCCAAAATTTTTTTACATTTCTGGCATCAATATAATCTACCTTATCACTCCCTACTAGCCGTTTCCCCAAACCAAGTCCGGAACCCTCCGTTTTTGACCCCTCTTTATTTATACATGACAAATTTGAAAAAATCTATTATTCGTCAAAACAGCCGAAGACCCAAAATTTTTTTACATTTCTGGCATCAATATAATCTACCTTATCACTCCCTACTAGCCGTTTCCCCAAACCAAGTCCGGAACCCTCCGTTTTTGACCCCTCTTTATTTATACATGACAAATTTGAAAAAATCTACTATTCGTCAAAACAGCCGAAGACCCAAAATTTTTTTACATTTCTGGCATCAATATAATCTACCTTATCACTCCCTACTAGCCGTTTCCCCAAAGCAAGTCCGGAACCCTCCGTTTTTGACCCCTCTTTATTTATACATGACAAATTTGAAAAAATCTATTATTCGTCAAAACAGCCGAAGACCCAAAATTTTTTTACATTTCTGGCATCAGTATAATCCACTTTATCACTCCCTACTAGCCGTTTCCCCAAACCAAGTCCGGAACCCTCCGTTTTTGACCCCTCTTTATTTATACATGACAAATTTGAAAAAATCTATTATTCGTCAAAACAGCCGAAGACCTCAAAATTTTTTTACATTTCTGGCATCAATATAATCTACCTTATCACTCCCTATTAGCCGTTTCCCCAAACCAAGTCCGGAACCCTCCGTTTTTGACCCCTCTTTATTTATACATGACAAATTTGAAAAAATCTATTATTCGTCAAAACAGCCGAAGACCCAAAATTTTTTTACATTTCTGGCATCAATATAATCTACCTTATCACTCCCTACTAGCCGTTTCCCCAAACCAAGTCCGGAACCCTCCGTTTTTGACCCCTCTTTATTTATACATGACAAATTTGAAAAAATCTATTATTCGTCAAAACAGCCGAAGACCCAAAATTTTTTTACATTTCTGGCATCAATATAATCTACCTTATCACTCCCTACTAGCCGTTTCCCCAAAGCAAGTCCGGAACCCTCCGTTTTTGACCCCTCTTTATTTATACATGACAAATTTGAAAAAATCTATTATTCGTCAAAACAGCCGAAGACCCAAAATTTTTTTACATTTCTGGCATCAGTATAATCCACTTTATCACTCCCTACTAGCCGTTTCCCCAAACCAAGTCCGGAACCCTCCGTTTTTGACCCCTCTTTATTTATACATGACAAATTTGAAAAAATCTATTATTCGTCAAAACAGCCGAAGACCCAAAATTTTTTTACATTTCTGGCATCAGTATAATCTACCTTATCACTCCCTACTAGCCGTTTCCCCAAACCAAGTCCGGAACCCTCCGTTTTTGACCCCTCTTTATTTATACATGACAAATTTGAAAAAATCTATTATTCGTCAAAACAGCCGAAGACCCAAAATTTTTTACATTTCTGGCATCAGTATAATCCACTTTATCACTCCCTACTAGCCGTTTCCCCAAACCAAGTCCGGAACCCTCCGTTTTTGACCCCTCTTTATTTATACATGACAAATTTGAAAAAATCTATTATTCGTCAAAACAGCCGAAGACCCAAAATTTTTTTACATTTCTGGCATCAGTATAATCTACCTTATCACTCCCTACTAGCCGTTTCCCCAAACCAAGTCCGGAACCCTCCGTTTTTGACCCCTCTTTATTTATACATGACAAATTTGAAAAAATCTATTATTCGTCAAAACAGCCGAAGACCCAAAATTTTTTTACATTTCTGGCATCAGTATAATCCACTTTATCACTCCCTACTAGCCGTTTCCCCAAACCAAGTCCGGAACCCTCCGTTTTTGACCCCTCTTTATTTATACATGACAAATTTGAAAAAATCTATTATTCGTCAAAACAGCCGAAGACCCAAAATTTTTTTACATTTCTGGCATCAGTATAATCCACTTTATCACTCCCTACTAGCCGTTTCCCCAAACCAAGTCCGGAACCCTCCGTTTTTGACCCCTCTTTATTTATACATGAGAAATTTGAAAAATCTATTATTCGTCAAAACAGCCGAAGACCCAAAATTTTTTTACATTTCTGGCATCAGTATAATCCACTTTATCACTCCCTACTAGCCGTTTCCCCAAACCAAGTCCGGAACCCTCCGTTTTTGACCCCTCTTTATTTATACATGACAAATTTGAAAAAATCTATTATTCGTCAAAACAGCCGAAGACCCAAAATTTTTTTTACATTTCTGGCATTAGTATAATCCACTTTATCACTCCCTACTAGCCGTTTCCCCAAACCAAGTCCGGAACCCTCCGTTTTTGACCCCTCTTTATTTATACATGACAAATTTGAAAAAATCTATTATTCGTCAAAACAGCCGAAGACCCAAAATTTTTTTACATTTCTGGCATCAGTATAATCCACTTTATCACTCCCTACTAGCCGTTTCCCCAAACCAAGTCCGGAACCCTCCGTTTTTGACCCCTCTTTATTTATACATGACAAATTTGAAAAAATCTATTATTCGTCAAAACAGCCGAAGACCCAAAATTTTTTTACATTTCTGGCATCAGTATAATCTACCTTATCACTCCCTACTAGCCGTTTCCCCAAACCAAGTCCGGAACCCTCCGTTTTTGACCCCTCTTTATTTATACATGACAAATTTGAAAAAATCTATTATTCGTCAAAACAGCCGAAGACCCAAAATTTTTTTACATTTCTGGCATCAGTATAATCACTTTATCACTCCCTACTAGCCGTTTCCCCAAACCAAGTCCGGAACCCTCCGTTTTTGACCCCTCTTTATTTATACATGACAAATTTGAAAAAATCTATTATTCGTCAAAACAGCCGAAGACCCAAAATTTTTTTACATTTCTGGCATCAGTATAATCCACTTATCACTCCCTACTAGCCGTTTCCCCAAACCAAGTCCGGAACCCTCCGTTTTTGACCCCTCTTTATTTATACATGAGAAATTTGAAAAAATCTATTATTCGTCAAAACAGCCGAAGACCCAAAATTTTTTTACATTTCTGGCATCAATATAATCTACCTTATCACTCCCTACTAGCCGTTTCCCCAAACCAAGTCCGGAACCCTCCGTTTTTGACCCCTCTTTATTTATACATGACAAATTTGAAAAAATCTATTATTCGTCAAAACAGCCGAAGACCCAAAATTTTTTTACATTTCTGGCATCAGTATAATCCACTTTATCACTCCCTACTAGCCGTTTCCCCAAACCAAGTCCGGAACCCTCCGTTTTTGACCCCTCTTTATTTATACATGAGAAATTTGAAAAAATCTATTATTCGTCAAAACAGCCGAAGACCCAAAATTTTTTTACATTTCTGGCATCAGTATAATCCACTTTATCACTCCCTACTAGCCGTTTCCCCAAACCAAGTCCGGAACCCTCCGTTTTTGACCCCTCTTTATTTATACATGACAAATTTGAAAAAATCTATTATTCGTCAAAACAGCCGAAGACCCAAAATTTTTTACATTTCTGGCATCAGTATAATCCACTTATCACTCCCTACTAGCCGTTTCCCCAAACCAAGTCCGGAACCCTCCGTTTTTGACCCCTCTTTATTTATACATGACAAATTTGAAAAATCTATTATTCGTCA